TATTATAAAAGTTTGTCACGCCGAATATGACAGATACGTAATAACTAATATCAAATTTTGCCTTGTCACAATATATACTAGTTTGGCGCAGTATTCTAGTATGTTTGCCGTAATATGTAAGTTTACCGGTTCGAATCTCAGGCTACTTTTTTTTCATTTTATCAATCACGGGGTTATTTTTCATAACCAGTAAAAATTTGGTAATGTAAAATTTTGCTCGACAATTTTTTTTTATAATTTTCACTGTTGGGTAGAAAGAAATTTAAATAAAGTTAACAACAATTATGTCAGACCATCGCGGGTGAAGTGAGTGGGCGGAGCGTGGATTGTCTTTCCGGGTTTTAAGAATGGTACGCGCGGAAACTATACGTACAAGTGTTATCTACATATGTGTGCGCGCCCACGCACACTGGCATGTTTATTGCAATCGACCAAAAATTTGATGTAGTTTGGATATTGACATTCAGTTTTTTTTCTTTGTTTCTTAAATATAATCAGTATCAGTAAAAGGTAAAAGTAAAAGTGTTATTTTACCGGTACAAGTTTAACAAACATGAGTAATAAACAAATTACATGCCAATAGCATCGCTTTATCTTCTTCATTTTTGTTTGAAATAGAAAAGTACTTTAACGGTCAAACTCATTAGTCCAAGGCATTATCAAAAAGTACCTAATAACTACGGCGATAGAGTTTAATTACATGTGCTTCGATATAAAGTATTTGCCAAAAGCGTCAGAGATCTTATATAGTTTATCTAAATCTGATATTATTTTTTTATACTTGCTACAATTATACAAAAAAAATATAATGTTATAATTTTAATTTTATTTTGCTTCGATATTAAAATTAAAAAGTTTAAATATCAAAAAAAAAAATAGTGGCTTGGTATTTGAACCGCCGACCTCACGTACCAACGGCGGCGAATGGTAAGGCCACGAGACCAAACTAGCATATATGATGACAAACTTAAATTTGATGTTGGTTTTATCTACCTAATATCTGTCATCCGCGTCGAACACTTTTAGTAAATTTTGAAAAATGGTTTGATGCAAAGTGTCAAATGAATGTAACAGAAGTAGTTTATTCCAAATTGTATCACAAGTATATAGAGAAAGAGTTCAATTTTGTCAAATGTACCGATATTTTTGCGCACCTTGACTGCTTCGTTACTTATGACGCTGTGGCTGCTACGATATTTATGAGCATCTTGCATGTACTCATATATTTGACGCTTTGTATGTACCGATGTATTTGAGCAGGGTGAATGTATCTATTATTTTGAGGACTTTTGTTGTACCGATATAATTGATTACTTTTGATGTACCTATATATTTGCATATCTTGTCTGTGACGATCTATATGACGCTGACTGTACTTTTAAACTAATATAAAAACAGCTAAACACTCACGTATATTCTAGTGAGCCCATCGGGAGCCCTTCATCAGGGTGATTGGGACTGGGCCGCGGACGAGAGCGAAAGCGTGCCCGTGGTCCCGTCCCGATGCGTTGGAGGAACAGAGGGGTTTAGTGTGTATGCCTCCACTATGGAGGAGAATCCCACATAACTACCGCGTCCCCCCCCGGGGCGCGGAGTATGCATAAAGCATTCCTCTCTGGAAAAAACAGGGTGATTGAGACTGGTATTATTTCGCGGACAAGTCGCGGAAACTAGTCGGTGCCGCCACTAGACGAATATACTTCAGTGTTTAGCCGTTTTTATATCAGTTTATTATAATGTCTCACGAAAGTTTGAATAATTTAAAGTAAGTACTTTTATTTCCAGAGTGGCGAGCAACACTCCTCACCTGGTCAGCCTGGGTACCGGTCGTCTCAGCACTGCTGTGACACTGCATCCGATCAAACAAGGTGATATCATAATGCTGTCTCTGTTTAACATCAGTGAATAGACAGAGACAACACTCGAATATCTTTTTAAACATTAGGACATTAGTTGCAGTACATCAACAATTTTCAGCAGAACAAATTTCGCTGTATGCAAATTTTATGCTAATTTTGACATTAACGAAACAAATATACGTGGTAGACCCCAACGCGAAAGGAATCGCGGGCGACAGCTAGTAGTCTCTCTCTCTCTCATTCTCTCTCTCTGCTTAACTTGCATCCTACAAGGTAGTGGAGTCTGCTTTCAAAATGTTCCACTTCGTTCTGTCCTTGACATCTTCGTTTGGGTCTTAGCACTCATGTCTTACCACTACATCTTTCCATCTTGTTTTGGGTCTACCTCTGGATTTGCAGTCAGGAAGGGAAAGTTGTAGTGATAAATTATCGACGTAGTCCTTCCTCACATGACATCTAGTTTAATTATTTTAACCTATGCAGATATGTATTTATTCACCGTTGACAACGACTAAACGTGAGTTTCTGAGACCTAAATCCTCGTGTAAATATTGTTATCTCTGTTTTTGTCAAAGATAATAACAGAGATGACGATATGTTTTATACGTAGATTTTTGTGTCAGAACCTCACGGTTAGATCTTGATACCTGCACTCCGATTTTTATTATAATCTTGGTTATTTCCCCAGGTCGTGTAACGATCGGTTCGGACCCAACATGCGATATCTACGTGGTAGGGACCGGTGTTGCCAGTGTGCACTGCCGTGTCGAGAACTCGCACGGTGTTGTCACACTCTACCCTCTCAGTGGAAGTACACTTTTAGATGGATTACCAGTGGAAAAGCCCACTAGATTGTCACAAGGTATGCATAGAAGTTAAAACTAATCTTGTTTATTATTTATGCCAATGCCATGTGTATATAATAACCTTAAAATATCTTGGCGTAATAGAACTCTTATAAGATATTAAGTTCAAATTATCTCATTCCAGGCAGCATGTTAACAATTGGCCGGTCCAATTATCTCCGCTTCAATCATCCTGAGGAGGCGAAGCTGATGAAATCCGTTTTACCATCAGGTCATGTCTCCATGGCTCCTATACAGTTCCAGCCAAACGAACAATGTCTACCGCCTGGTAAGTATACAGTAACGGTCTTAGAGAACTTTCAGATACTTAGCACGGTATTTAACAATGAAAAAAACGGTCTTGACAGACGGACGGACAACAAAGTAATCCTATAAGGGTTTTTCCTTTCGATGTACGGAACCCTATAAACATTACAAAAGATGTAAATGTTATTTTTAACAATAATTTTCTTTATTTAATTCAGGTTACATCAATCATCATACAGAATCATCACAATGTTACCAAAATATACAAAAAATCTATAAAGACACAACACTATCGCAATTAGATCAAGAACTAGATATGACATTAAAAGAAATGTCTAGAAAAAAACCACCTTTAGTCCCTAAAAAACCGTTCAGAGATATAGACAATTCAGATTCAGATCAAGAAAGACATAAAATATCCGGGATAATGGCTAAAGTATCGAAATTTGAATATTACGCTAAACAACAGAAATGCGTTGGTCGTAGTCAATTTTATACGACTGATGACAACGAAATATCACCAAAAGTATTCAGTTCAAACTCTCTAACAGTTAATACACCAGCTAAAGATGTATTAGGCGATAAAACAATGCCAAATTACATGACAAAATTTAAACAAGAACAAAAAATGATTTTATTAAACGAGAATAATCTAGAAACGAATTATACCAACATTAGAAATAAAACTAAAATCGAAGATATCGTAAGAAATTTCGATGATAATAAACTTCCTAAAAAGATAAACAATGAAATGCGATCGGAAAATATCTACGGTCGTATTAAAGATTGCGAATCTAAAAGTAATTTGGATTGTAAGAAACTGGATGGAGAGGAATGTTCTAGAAGGGATCAGAAAGGGATTGTGACGTCATATGATAGGAGTCAACAATATTTGCCTGTATATAGCAATTGTCAATATGATAGAAGTTCTGATGCCGAAAATATGAGAAAAAAGGTACGTATTTTATAATTAAAACCATATTTAAGTATAGCATTGAAAACTTTCACAATTTTTTGTTTACTTGTAACTTTTAAATTAATAGAAAATTAGATTAGATACTATACGAAAAAGGAAAACATCGTGATGTTGCACATATGTGAGAAGAAATTCAAAGATATGTGCAGCATCACAATGTTCCGACCTCGTGATCGGAAATCCGTACCCTTAACCATTAGGCTATTGATGCTCGAGTTTACATTATAAACAACTAGCTGTAACCCGCGACTCCGTTTAAAAAATCTTAGTAAGCTATGTCTTCTTCCAGACTATGTTTTATGTCTATGCAAAATTTTAGCGAGATCTGTTGAGCCGTTTTGAAGATACCTTCAAACATCCATCCATCTAAACATTTGCATTTATATTAGTAAGAAGTAAGATTCTGTTTGACTACTTCTAAATATAGTAAAACATATAAGCAAATAACTACAGATTTCTCATTCACGAGACCTTTTAATCTTTATAGTACACAGATAATTGATAAAATTAAATAAATAAGTAATTGAAATTAAGGAAACAATAGCGCTATCAAAAGATATCGTTTGACGTAATGATAAAACACTGCGTCTATTTATGCGACAAAACTTGGCAGTTTGTTAACGAACCTTTGTCTAGATACTCGCTAATTAAAAAAAAAGTAAATTGTTTATTCGTATGACAACTGTCAAATGTTGACAATGTCCAGTTATGTCAAATAACGCGCGAAAACGAAAAGTGTATTAATTTGCAATTTGTGCTTTTATTTTTCAAGTGAGTGTTTTAAATTAACAAAATGATGTACAAAACCGTACAGACAGATAAAAAACATAATTCACAAAGTCGTCTATTCAAATTATTCATTAAAACGATAAAACAAAATACATTCGCGTTGAAAGAGTTAAAATTTTGCATAGATAAAAATAAAGTGCAGGACGATAAGAATAAAATGTTTGAACTGACGAATTCCGTTAACGAAAAATTAGAAATAGTTCATAAACTTCGAAACGATATCAAAATATATAGAACAATAAATACAGTTCTGACCAATCATTACATAAAAGAAACGAGAGACCACGAGAATACTATAGATAATAAAATAATTAAACTACAGGCTCAAATAAAACAATCTTATGACGAATTAAAAGCGGAGATATCCAAAATGGCGGACGTTAAGTATGTTGCCAGTGACAAAAATTCCGCGCCAATACAGAACAGTAATGTTTTTCTAGTTGGCAATGATTTTAAATATGATCAAGTTAATGAATTTAAATTTAAAACTGAAATTTATAATAATATTATTAAAAAGATTGATAAACTCTTTGGAGGCATGGTAAGTTTCAGTTTACTTCGTATTATGGCAAAAACTAAAAGTGGTTTTGTATTCAGTTAAAAAAAAATGTTTTTATCTTATTAATATGCGAATGATTAGATGGATTGGATTCTTACGATGAAGGTAAACATCGTGATGCAACCTGCACATATCTGCGAAGAAATTCAAAGATATGTATGAAGTCAACCAACCCGCACTTGGCCAGCGTGGTTGACTATGGCCTAATCACCCTTAACTTAGGGTAGGCTCCGAGCCCCTCGGTGGGGACGTATAGTGAGCTGATGATGAGATGGATGGATGTTTGTTATAAAGTATCTCCAGAACGGCTCAACGGATCTCCATTAAATTTGTCTTAGATGTAGAACATAGTCTGGAAGAACACATAGGCTACTAATTAAGTTATTTTTAAATCCGGACGGAGTAGCGTACGACGGCTATATTATAATAAAAAGTATACGTATCTGTTTTACCTAACCCTAATAATTTATCAAATTAATCAACATTGATAATATTAAGTGCGTAATTTAATTAGTATGTTTTTGTCAAACGCATCGTTGTAATGTTCTGAGTTGATCTATTCCAGGCTTATCAAGATAGAATCAAAGAAGAAGAACAGAAAGAGGCAGAAACTGCTAGATTAGAGGAAATACTGAACATGTGTGCGGAGTATGAAAAGCAAATAGCCACAGGTATGTAATAGTTGTTTTACTAGCTATAGATAGCTGTAGGTCCCGAATTCGAATCCCGCGATGTCCTTTTAGACATTTTTTTTATATCATAAGGTGGCAAACGAGCGAGCGGCCACCTGAAATCGCTGAAATAGCGAAGTGCTCGTTGCCCATAGACATACGCAATTGCATATGCGTTGCCTACCTTTAATCGATGGAGGAGAGGATGCACAGAAAGAAAATATTTTCCCTTTCAATGCATCCTCTCATCCATAAAGTCAACTTCCATTTCCCATCCTTTCCTTATAAGAAAAAGAGTGGGAAGGGAAAGAGGACTAAAGACGCACACTCATCAGACGAAACGCGAAATTGCTTTCACAGCATTGACTGTGGCCTAGTCACTAACTTAGGATAGCCTCCTCAGTTAGGACGTATAGTGAGCTGATGATATTAAGAGATACAAGAAAGCAGACTGTCTAGCTATACACTTCAGAGATTAATAAATCTAACAATAAGAGTTTTAATGTGTACTTTATGTCTACTAACGTCAATCTACTCTTTTCTCTAAGTGAAGATTGCTTCTCCGTACATCTCTTTCACACAATCCATTCATACTTTCTTTAGGCCTTCTTCTCTTAGTAGTCAATAATCATATTATCACAACTTAATAAATATGCTCGAAACCTATTGACATATATATGTTATCTTATTAATCTTTAGTTTATTTACTGATATTATTATAAAGTTTGAGTTTGATTTTTTTAATTTTTAGTTTTTGACTCATGTATTTTTGGGTTCAAAAAAATTAAATATTTTGTATTTCATATTTAGGTAATATAATAATCTTACTAATATTATAAATGGGATTGTTTAGATGGTTGGATGGATGTTTGAAGGTATATCCAAAACAGCTGAATGAATCTCGATGAAATTTGATAATACATATAGAATAGTCTGAAAGAACACATAGACTACTAATTTAGTTTTTTTAATTAAGCTTTAATCAATTTTTGTTACAGGCAACCCAATTACTCCGACAGAAAAGAGATCGCATAATAAAATCATCACAAACGGATCATTACCGCGAAGTGTTGCTCTCAACAACCCCAACTTTATACAGACCAGTGATGGCTACTATAAGTAAGTTGAATAAATGAATATTTTACACTATAGTGTGTCTATTTAAGATATATTATGTCAACAGTGGTAGAGCCCGCTTTAACATCTCCGCACGAATTGTCACGGCTCGCCCGGTGAAATACCACGACCACACAGAAGACACGACTCAAGTGGAAGCAATTCCAAGTACAGTCTGATGAGTGTGCGTCCCGGAGGCCTAATTTAGTCCTCGTTCACTTCCCACCCTTTTCCTATAAGGAAAGGATGGGAAGTGGAAGTGGACTTTCCGGATGAGAGGATGCTTGTGATGGGAAAATATTTTCTTTCTATGCCTCTCCGTCGATTAAAGATAGGCATCGTATCTGCAATTGCATATGTCTATGGGCAACGGTCACTTCGCTATTTCAGCGATTTTAGTTAGCCGCTCGCTCGTTTGTCACTTTATTATATAAAAAAAAGATTAGTTTGACAATTCCATGACAATTCATTAGATATGGGTTGAGTAAAATCGATTTAGAATTTTCTCGATTTTCGATGGTTGTTCTCATATCAACTTACAATCGAATATTTCTTGATTATAGATTTTAAATTACAATACAAATAAATTTGTTTCTTTCTATTCCTACTTTATTCTTCATAACGACGTAAAGAAATAAGACATTAACGTAATTAGTGTTGACGTACAAATTATTATTTTTTAAATAATTGTGTGATACATAGCCAAATAACTGCAATAAATTTAATTTAAAATACCTGAATTATGGTACCTATATGTTGGATTAATTTATTTCAAGACCGATTTTCAATAGTTCAATTATTCGTTGTGCGCGACGGTTCGACACGACGACAACCGTCCATTAAGTACAACATTAATGCTCATACAAAGTTAATGTAATATTCTATAGGCATTAGTAGTCAAACTATAAGAGAAACCTTTATAGTCGAGAAAAATTTACATGTGCAGGTCTCAGGTTTATATCTATTCAACTGTATTAAAAATAAAGTTAGACTTAGTAATTGTTTTACTTCTAGATTCGATACTAGCAAAAACAAATCAATGAATAATTCACCTCTTCAAAGGAATCTATCTAGTTATGAAAACTTCGATGACACACAATCACCATCGCAATTAGATCAAATGACACCAGAAGTGACAACCGGTGACATAGGTCGTATGGACGAAATAGGAATACCAATATTTGATGATGAATTCACTGAAATATCTAGTCCCATATTAATTAGAAAAAATGGTGAATCATCACCTATGAATAGTCCATACGAAAACTTATATTTCCAAAAAAATTACACAAATTTCAAACCTAAATCACCAAACACACAAAGTCCTAGGACAAGAATAAAAACAACTTTCGCACATAAGAATCTCTCTCCGCAGTATTTTGTATTTCCAACAGAAACTAATTTCAATCTAGATAAACTAAATCCTAATAATCCAGATCTAGATAATACTAAATGTAGTGGTATAGAAAAACAATTAAGTCTAGAAGATGAAATACCAATGATCGATGATTCAGATCTAGCAAATGACCTAGAATTCAGATATTCCAAAGTATACAATGATAAAGTAGACACAATTGATACTAAAGATAATATTTCAAGTCCAAATGATTTTGATATTGAAAAAACTATAATAAAAAATAAAAGTTTTGATGATGTTAAGAAAGAATTAATGGCGGATATTCCTGAATTAGAAGAATTCGAAAAAGACCTTAAAGATAATAAAAGAGATAAAATAATAAAAAATATAACAGAGGATGTTAGGAAAATGGATTTGGAAGCGAGTTCTATAGATAGTGCCGTTTTGGATGAAAACATAGTTGATTTAAGATCAAAATATGATACTTTGAAAGAAGAAAGGAAGAAATTGGTCGCGGAAATTCATGAATTGAAATGTAAAATGTCTGAAATAAGGTCACAGGAAGATGATATTTTACGAGAGGTAAGTTTTCAATATTAATTTTTATTAACAGCTGCACTAAGGCGTAACCTAAATAATGTTTTAGTGTAGATTTATTTCTGTGTTCAAGACCCTCCCGCAACCTTGACCAGGTCATCGGTCCATCTTGCGGAAGGCCTTGCTGCTTAAATTTCTTAAATAAATATAATTTTTAGTTGGAAATGGAGAAAGCTTTAATCAAAGGTGAATACGATTCAGAGATAGCAATATTAAATATAGAACAAAAGAAGAAATTGGAATTAACAGAGAACGCGAAGAAGATAGAAGATGAGATGAAAGAATTAAAAGAGAAACAAGAAATACGACAGAACGAAATACGAGAAAGATTAGAAATCGCAACTAAGAAAGTCGAAAGGTTCGTTTGTAGTTATTACTTTGAATTTTGTATCAGTCCAAATGCGTGATATTATCATTGACTAGCTGTAACCCGCGATTCCGTCCGCGTGGAATTAAAAAAGAACTTAATTATTACTCAGCGTGTTCTTCCAGACTATGTTCTATATGTATGACAAATTTCAGCGAGATCCATGTAGCCGTTCTGGAGATATCTTCTAATAAACATCCATCCATATTAGTAATGTTATAAAAGCGAATGTTTGGATGGATGGAGCCAAAACGGCTGCATGGATCTCAGTGAAATTTCACACAGATTTAGAACATAGTCTGGAACAATACATAGGCTACTAATTAAGTTTTTTAAAGTCGCGGGCGACAGCTAGTACATAAGCAACACTTAGAATGTGTTCTTTGGTTTTTCAAACAACTTTTTCCACAGACTAGAGAAAGATTTAAAAGAGAATGCAGCAACGTTAGAAGAATTACAAAATGCTCAGGACATTTTGGATAACGAGACGAAGATATTTGAGGATTTGGAGTTCCAACATTTAGAGGAGGAATCAGAGTTGTAAGTTTGCTTTTAGTATAGTTTTTGTTGCACTCAGAAACAAAATTATTAAATTAGGAAGACCCAATTAACTAATCTTACTAATATTATAAATGCGAATGTTTAGATGGATGGATGTTTGTTAGAAAGTATCTACAGAACGGCTACATGGACCTCGCTGCAATTTGTCATAGATGTAGATCATAGTCTGGAAGAACACATAGGCTACTAATTAAGTTTTTTTAATTCCGCGTAGACGGAACCTCGGGCAATATGTAATTCTTGGGATTTTGTTTTTTTTTTATCATTTTTCCGGGTTAAATAAATACTTTTATATCTGTTATTTGTACTTCAATTTTAGATTAGCAAATAGAGAAGATTTACAAAATGAAATAATCATATTAACAAAGAAAATAGACGCTCAAAAATGTAGAATACTAACTCTAAAGACTGAAGCTAACAATAATTTAACATCAGCTTTAGACGAGACTAAAGTACTACAAGCTAGATATGTTAAATTATTAAATCAAGTTGAAGAATTAACTGTAAAAGTGCAAACAATAGAGAAAGAATTAAAACCGATAGTAAATAAGTTAAACGACATAGAAAGAACACAATCACCGGACAGTGCATTCTACACAGATCAGACTAGAGCTAAATCTGATGAATTCGGTTATTCACCACAAACATCTGATAGTGATGATGATATAAAAATAAAGAGTTTCGAAGATCACACGAAACATATAAAAGACAAATTGAAATCAATAGATCAGATGTCTCAGTCCATGATGATTGACATCGAGAGACGTGACGTCACAGAACTTAACGAGACAAGATTAAGTGAGAGTCCATCCAAATCTTCTACTTCTTCTAAAGAGAAGAAAGGATTCTGGGAGAGGAATTTCGATTCTTTGAAGCGTAAAAGTAATAAGAAAAAACCAGAAAAGAATGATTTAATGTCTCAAAGTTTTAATGAGAATATTTTCTATAATAGTGAAAATATAGAAATAGATCTAGATAAGTTTAACAGTTTGAGACATTCAAAGAAAAATAAAAAAGATAATGGACCATTAAAAAGTAATTCCTCATCGAAAATCCCGACATTCATGGCGCTTGGGAAAATAATGAAAAAAGATTCATTTAATAAGAAAATAAATAACAAAATAGATGAAGATAATGATAATAAAAATCGTTATATAAAAAACAATAAAACTATAACAGATAATAAATATAAAAATAAATCATCACCTGACAAAGTTACAAATGATAAAGAGATGAATAAAAACGATTTAACGAAATCGATGACGGTTACATTTGAAAGAACTGATTTTAATAATTCAGCAGTTAAATTACATAGAAAGAGTTGCGGAGATGAACCTAACAGGAGTTTAGAGTTCAATAAGATAACAGAATCAGGTAAAATTCCCTCACAAGATGATATAGACAGGATATCAAAGGTGACAATGGATGCACCGATATTATCAAGTGATACTGATGTCAATTCTTTGGGGAAGAGAACTTTGGACAGTCTGATGGAGATAGAGAGGAAGAGAATCGAGATGTTGGAAGAACAAGGTAAGTTTATTTCTAGCGAATATGTGTATTAAAGGTCTAATTTTAGTTCGAATTCCCTTCCCACCTTCTTTTCTAAGAAAGGGTGGGAAGGGTAATTGAATTTTCTTCCCATCCTTTCCTTATAAGAAAAAGGTGGGAAGGATAATTGAATTTCCTTCCCATCCTTTCTTTATAAGAGAAGGGTGGGAAGAGTAAGTGAATTTGACGGTGGAGGGGATACATAGTAAAGGGAAATATTCTCTTTCTGTGCATTCCCTTTTCTGTTCTAATGTCTATGAGTAATTGTCGCTTCGCTATTTAGAATTCAGGTAGCTGCTTGCTCTTATTATTTAAAAAAGTTAAATTCCACTTTTATAGTTTTTTTTAATCGATTCGTGAAAAAAATTGTTAAAATCTTGTTAAAATTTTATATAGTAAATAAATTCGTGCTAATATTATAAATGCGAAATTTTGGATAGATGGATGTTTGTTTGAAGATATCACCAGAACAGCTGCACGGACATAATTTGAAAGATCACATAGGCTACTTAAGTTTGTTACTCCGCGCGGACGGAGTCGCGTTTTACAGCTAGTATTCAATAAAATGAATTCATCCAGGTTGCCAAATGATAGAAAACGAAAGAGAGAAAATATCAGAATTAAAACGTAAAGCCCAAGACGAAACCAAAAAGCTATGGGACCAGAAGAACAGATCTGGTCACACAAAGTCTTCTGACGGTGACGCGGACATTCGCTGCCGTGACGTCACTGACAGATACGTCACCGATGACGTCACAACAGAGAGATACGTCACTGATGACGTCAGATATGCAGTGGAGGACGCCAGCGTCACTGATGACGTGTTAAATCTCACCAATTCTACTATATTTGAAGAGAGGTGAGTTTTTATTATTTAATTCTATATATATAATGTTAATTATATTATGTGTGTCTGTATGTCTGTTCATCTGCAATTTGTATTTGAGATTAAACTTTTATTAGAAGGTAGCTAATGTACGCGGGAGTTATTGTTTTTTTTTTAACGTGATAATGTGTTATAAAAAACACAATCTAAGATATATCAAGAAAAATACGAATCGAATGACCTCACTAGATTTTTTATTTGTTTGAAGATTGTACGTAATTAAATACATGAATTTAAAATTCAAAAACTAGACCAAATTTATCTATGTATGTAAAACTAGTATGGAATTAATAAAGTCTAATCAGCCAATGATAAGCTATCGCGCAGTAACGACGCGACATCCGAACCAACCGCATGTGTGGTACGAAATTTACGATACGTAATAACAATTTTAAGTTTTGAAATTATACATTTTATTACTGTGATAGTTTAAATCAGTGTAAAATAAAAATTAATTTGTTATATTTACTATTTAAATAATCTTATATACAGTGAAACTTGGTTAAGTGGGACCTGGATAAGTGAGAAACCTCCATAACTGGAACTCATGCTATAAAATTCTCTTGTCACAATTTTCGTTCTCATACTCCTCCGAAACGGCTTGACCGATTCTCATAAAATTTTGTGAGCATATTGAGTATGTCTAAGAATCGGCCAGCATCTATTTTTCATCCCCCTAAATGTTAAGGGTAGTCCACCGCAAAATTTTATTTTTTTCATTTTTTAGACAAACACGCGGACGGAGTCGTGTTCGACAGCTAGTAATTCAAATAAGTTTCCATTTAAATTATTAAAACTTTCGTGAGACATTATTGTAAATATATTTAAAAGTAGCTAAAACACAAACCAACTAACCCGCACTTGGCCAGCGTGGTTGACTATAGCCTAATCACCCTTAACTTAGGATAGGCTCCGAGCTCCTCAGTGGGGACGTATAGTGAGCTGATGATGATGAAAACACAAACAGGTTTCCATTATTAAAACTAATTTTCATTCTATACATAAAAAATAGGGATAAACTATATTTTATACGTTATTTAGTAGTTAAAATGTTTCATTGGAAATGATTTTGTAGAAAAAAACTTGTTTTTTTTTTTATTTCAAAGAAACGTATACTTTCTTAGTAAAGCGAACAATGTAAAGGAAATGCTTTATCGGCTATTGTTCCAATTCATAATTATCAACTAACGTATTCCAGTTTTCTATTTAATCGGACCAAAATCTCTGTATATCGTCATCCCTGTCATTATCTTTGACAAAACAGAGATGACAATATGTTTTAATGGGCAATTTGGCCAAACCCACGGCTAGTATACATCTAGAATTTCTTTAATTCTAAATATCAAGATCTATAAGTCGTAAACAGTAAAATTGAAATAATTTAACTGAACTTCAAGTTAAGTAACTTGACACCTTTTTACAATATAACTTTATCTCAAAAACATAAAATAAATAAAAAAAAAGTTAATCATACTGACTCAATCGAAAATGAAGTCCATTTGTTTATAATTTTGGCTTTGGATTGATACGAAAGTCTTCTCTTTTCTTTTCAAAGAGAATGAGTGAGACGTCTATATATCATTTTTATACATGAAACAAGATAATATCTTGATATTAATAAAGTCAACGAAACAATAAACAATTGAATTGATATAATCTGTAATAAACTAGCTATCGCCCGCGACCCCATCCGCGTGGATATATAAAAAAACTTAATATATAGATAAGTTAAATAAAAAGCAGCTCTTCAAGGCATAAATTTGAAAAAAAAAATAGTATCCTATGTCCGTCCCCTGACTCTAAACTACCTCCTCACAAATTTTCAGGCATATCTGTAAAGCCGTTCTTGAGTTATAAATAGTGTGACTAACACGACTTTTTTTTTATATATATAGACTAGCGGACCCGACAGACGTTGTCTGACAATTTGACACTGCGATGGTAGCGCCGTCTGTCGGATCCAATGTAAAACATTCCAAAATCAACAACTACTAATAAATTAAAAATTAATTAAAAAAACATTGTCCAGCGGATAAAATTGTGAATCTAAACCATTCCCAGATCCCCTTGAACACAAGTTCAGTGACATACACACTCACACAAGAATTATATATATAAAGATTAAAAACTTTGCGACCAATGTCAGTGCCAATTTCTGTACAAACATTTGGTCAACTTGACTTTTGAATACAGTATGTTGTATAAATCTTACCGAAGTTGGTAATTTTTTTTTATTTAAATGAGAATTTTTTTCTTAATTATATCATTATATATTCTTGCATATTTTCTTATTTAGATTTTAATAATATTTATACATCTAACATACTAATATACAGTATGTTTTGTCTATAAACGAAACGACCTTGAACGACCTCCCCCATATCATTAAAGTATCCAGGCCAAAGGAAATCATATCTGCACACAAATGAAAATAAACGCAATAAATTCAAGCCAATATAAATCTTATTTATAAGTCACTAAGCGTTATAATCGTTATTACATACGTTGACATCGTTCCATTGACCGAATACGTTTTACGAGGCATCAACGAATATGAATCTATTATGACGCGTTCATTCTTTGCCTTATAGAAGTATACAGCATGTTACATTTTTCATCAGTCAAGCTTGAAAATGAATAGAACACCTAAAGCATATCTTAAAAAGTTTCTATACTACGTATAAACTAAATCAAAGATTCCCTACCTTTTTAATTTCCTGGATTGGATAATCGCTTGCTGTATTTCTTTTTTAACTTGTGAATCCCTTTTATTTCCTACTAATGTAGCGTACGTGTTTGGTGATCTGTGGTCATGACCACTGTCTTAAACTAACATATTTCGAAATACTTATAAAATAGATCATCCTGTAGTTATTTGTCGATGCATTACGAACATCCTGTATTCAATTGAGTGCACAGATGTTTTCACATGCACAAGCCAACTAATGTTACGTCTGTGAAAATCAATATTCCAATAACTTTCACTTTAAACAAATTAAGAAACTGGAATAAAATATTTAAAAAGTCGTTTTATTTGATTTATTAAATTGTCGAAATGTTTGTCGGTCGGTAAAACCACAGTAATGGCGGTACAGGCCTGCAAAGGGTTGGCCTAAACTAAACTTAACTATAATGGATAAATGATTACTTAAGAATCTTAAAATAAATAAGATACGCTTTTAATATAATTTTAACAACTTACCGAGGTTTTCTGAAACCAAAAATTCCCGTTTGAAATGTCCTTCTTCAAAAATTAAAAAAAAATGTGACTCACATGTAAGCAAAACCTTTCGATTAAAAAGAAATTTCAAAATCGGACCACATCGGAGTTGCGCGCATTAAAAATAATCAGACGACTTGATATCCTACTTTTTGAAGTTTGCTAAAAACATAGCTCTTTTCAATATGCCCAGATAAATCTTTATGTATATTTAGTGTGTTTTTTCGTTTGCCTTCTAACAAGAATAATACGTATAAAGGTCATTTTTTATACCTTGACGTTTTTTTCCTTCAATCAATATACTTAGTAATAAAATTATAAGAAAAACCAGTCTGTATCAAATCGTTAAAATTTGTTTAAATTCGTAACATCAATAAAAACCAGATGCTTATAAAAACTTGTTAGTAACAATATAATTATGTCTAAGACTAAAGAGAAAAAATCTAGCTTGCTGTGCTGGTAAGTATTTTTTTAATAATCTTACTAATATTATAAACTATCCCGCAAATCAGTTCGCGCGGTATTAAAAAACATAATTAGTAACCTATGTGTTCTTCCAGACTATGCTCTATTTCATCGAGATCTGTCGTGTCGTTCAGGAGATACCTTCTAACAAACATCCATCTAAACATTCGCATTTATAATATTAATAAGATATGAAAGTTTGAATGGATATTTGTTACTAGGTTACTACAAAATTTAATGAAATCTAACAGAGTAATGGATAAGCATATGCTACTTGTTTATTTAATCCCGCGCACTCAAAGTCGCGGGACAAAGCTAGTAGTATAATATTACTGAGTAATTTCATTGATTTTATTAAGGAACATAAAACTGTATTCAATAGAATCTAATCTAATAGAAATCTTATCAGATTTATAACTTGCCTGCATGTACCGGAACAAACGAAAATTTCACCGTTCACCATCTCAAAGGCCGGCAACGCATCTGCGGTTCCTCTGGTATTGCTGATGTTCAGGAGGGTCGTTGAACACCTCTGTGTTCCCGCTGCTTGTTTGCCCTCTTCTGTTATAAAAAAAAGATTTACAGATAGACTGACCGACAATTTTTTTTTTATTGTTTCAGTTCTGGATTCCTGTCATCGTCTATTGAAGAGGTATGTTTTGACATTTTTTTAGTATTTTTTTTTTAATTTCAATGCCAAATCAATTAAAAAAATAGATATGTTGTTAGTAAACCTAGCTAATAATGTATTGTATTTTTATATTAACTTGAAATCTTCTTAGAAAGATTTTTAGGGTTCCGTACCTCATAGGAAAAATACAGAACCCTTATAGGATCACTTTGTTAACTAAGGCAAGGAAGCACAAATATTAATTTGATGTTTGAAATAATTATAAAATAGACTTCACATGTTTTTAATCTTTACGTAGGAAGTAGATCAGTCGCGTAGAGTTATTTATGAACCATATAGGGTTGTCAGTTATTTTTGTGATTTTTTTTACTATGTTTTGTTTTTATTAATATTTTCTGTTGTGTTCATACCGTTTAGTATAAAAAGACATGTTTAATATCTTTTTAATACAATTGCTTTATTTATGGCCAATAGCGTATTTAGCCAGTGTCTATTATTTTAAATAAAGCGTGTATAGGAAACTTAAATATCATGTAATATTGTTGTAAGATAAATAATCTTTAATTCTACTATAATTTATATGCAAAATTTTTCTTAAATCATTATAGTAATTGAACGAAAAGATGTTACCTATTTAAAAGGAATTTTCGTGATTGAATATACATAAAATTTGACATTGATAATATGGAGAAATGCATAAAGCTAATTTTATCAACATAAAATCTTTGAACAGAAATGTAATTTCAACAAATGGGCGACTCATAAAAAATCTCTTGTGCCAACCCTATACTTTTGGTTATTTAAGAGAAAGCGCATCCTGTTGTTTGAGGAACCAATTTATCTAACCAAATGTGGAAGTTGTAAGACAGTGTTAAATGAATTATATCGTTTTCCAAATATTATTTCCGATAGGACAGTCGTTTTTTCTCTTTGTAACAATTTGCCTCTTTACAAAAGAATAAATTAACAGCTTTATACTTACACGCGTTCATGTAAAAGGGTCTTGACAGACAGACGTACGAACATAGTGATCCTATAAGGGTTCCGTTTAAAAAAAAGTTGTAACTATGATTTTAGGTGCAGTAAAAACTGCATAATAGTACAAGAGAGCGCGTTTTTCTCGCTTATAAAGGTTTCTCTCTTACTTGAGTTTCTAGTTTAACGGATGTCTGTCAGGACCAGATGACTCTCGCTTATAGAGATGTCTCGCTTAGAATAGTTTACTTGTTTATTAAAAAACGTAAAATAATTAAATTTAAAGTAGGTTTTCACTGCAGAAATAATAATAAAACATAGTAAACTCTGCCTTTTATAAAATACGCGAGGAAATATATTTGTACATCTTTCAATTGTGGAAATTCTTTAAACCAACTAGCTGTTGCCCGCGATTCTGTCCGTGCGGGATTATAAAAATTTTAATTAGTAGCCTATCTGTTCTTCCAAACTATGTTCTATATTTATGCTAAATTTCAGCGAAATCTATGCAGCTTTTTTGAATACATTCTAACAATCATTCATACATTCATCCATACATATGCATTTATAATATTATGTAAGATTACTATCTTTAGAATACGCCAACATTTGGTGTTCAGTGACATCTTACGTGTGGCATCTTTTAATAGTAAGATTTATGTCACTCTTCCCGTGGCATAGCTTTAAACTGACGAAACTTAACCGTCAGATGTCGCTACGAACTTCCTTTGCTTTCGAACGTCTATAAATATAACGGGATATAGATATTTAGAAAGTTTTTTTTACCATAAATGAAAGTAAAATCTTATGGCTCTATCTTTTGTAATCTTACAAATATTGTAAATGAGAATGTTTGGATGGATGGATTGTTAGATAGTATCTCCAGAATGGCTGCATGTATCTTGCTGAAAGGCATAGATGTAGAACATAGTCTGGAAGAACATATGGTCAACTAATAATGTCAAGTAATTTTAGACAATTTACCGTTTTTTAATCTCTATTTTGGTCTCATAAATTCACTGGCACTTCATTATTTAAAATCAGCTTCTATTTAAATAAATAATTTAATTAATATTATAAATGCGAATGCATTCATGAATGTTTGTTTGAAGGTATCTTCGGAACAGCTCAACGGTTTTATGATGTTTCTCATAGATGTAGAACATAGTCTGGAAGAACATATCGGCTACTTATTACGTTTTTATAATACCGCGCGGAGTCGCGGGCGACAGCTAATTCATAGTTGTTTTAGTTGCACATATTTGTATGTTATCGTCATCTACATGGTTAATAGATAAGGTTATAGTTAAGTTAACAATGTTATCAGCCTCTTATCTTATTGATTCGTGGAATGTAACTAAACGCTGTGCAGCTTTTGATACAATAGACATAGTTAGAGATTTAGAAATAATATAATACCCATAGCTCAACTAATTTAAAATGTTAGTACCGACAAAATCATGTCTGTTCTTTTACTACGCCTATGGTTTGTTAAAAAAAAGTAATTAAAATCGGTTGAGGGATCGTCGATTAATCACGTGATCGAAAAGTTGATGTCCGAAAAAATCACGTGATGTTTCGGGATTTTTTTCTGGCCAATGAGGTATATTTTGTGAATAAAATTAACAATATTTTGAAAATTTCAATTTTTTTTTTGTACAAAAAATATACGTGATTTTAGGAATACGTAGGAGTAGTCACCTCTCCTCACATATCACCAGAGGGGATCAAAACATTACTAAAGTACATCACGTGCCCAATTCGGTAATAATAACGAAGTAACGGCCCGAGCCGAGGTTCCTGAGAAAGCCCTCGAGCTTAGTTACTCTTAAACGAGGTTTATGCTAAGTGCCATCTGCGCTCGGCCACCTCAAGCCCGGTGACGCTGTAAATGCCTCCTCAAGGCAAACAATGGCAATTCAGTCACAAAAAAAAACATCACGTGATTAATAGACGACCCTCTAAGGTTAGGAAAATATATCCTTACAGCATTCCGTAGTTCCGCTGAGAGATGAGCGTGTATTTAGAGACGTTTCCTTGTTTATATTTTAATTCTAAGAAAACACCATCATACCAACAAAGTACGTCAGTGAATATCCTTCAGTTGCTAGTAATAAATAATACTGTACAAACATCGACGCCCGCACTTTCACAACGTTCTAATTATATTTTACATCAATATAAATACCTACGGAAATTTGTTACATTCTGACATATCTATTTTTCCATATCATCATCAGCTCACTATACGTCCCCATCGAGGGGCTCGAAGCCTACCCTAAGTTAAGGGTAATTAAGCCATAGTCAACCAGCGTGGTTGACTATGGCTTAATTACCCTTTGGCTTGGCTTTGGTTGGCTATACCCAATGCGGGTTGGTTGACTTCACACATATCTTTGAATTTCTTCTCAGATATGTGCAGCATCACGATGTTTTCCTTCACCGTAAGAACGTCGGATAAATGTACATATGTAAATCGGAAATGGAAAAACACATTGGTACATGGCGGGATTCGAACCCAGGACCTTCAGATTGCAAGTCAAGTTCTTGACCACTGAACCGACGCTCTCATTTTTCCATATACATAACTTCAATTGTCAACCGCGACTTTTCGCGAGGTTTAAAAAAAATCTTTAATAGGCTATGTGTTCTTCCAGACTATGTTCTATATGTGTGCACAATTTCAGCGAAATTCATTCATCTAAACATTCGCATTTATAATATTAGTAAGACTAGTATGACTACTGTCACCGGCGACTCCATACACGCGGTTTTAAAAAAAAACTTAAATAGAGTATGCGTTCTTCCAGACTATGTTCTACATCTATGACAAATTTCATTGAGTTTGATTCAGTTGTACTGTAGATACCTTCTAACAAACATCCATCCATCTAAACATTCGCATTTATATTAGTAAGATAATAAGTGGGTTTCCGCTGACAACACACTTGTAAAATTCATATTGTTATTATCAATTCCTTTTAATAAGCAGTGAAAACCCACCTTTGTAGGCATCTAGGCATATGCTTGTAGTTCAAGATTGCTCTTAACATCGGCTTTGAAAGAACTTTATACTTTTTGTTTGATCTAGGATTATAATTTGGGTAAGTTTTAAAATCATATTAAAATTGACTTGTTAATTTTTTTTAGTTGTAATGTGCTACGACGTAGCAATATCGTAGAGGTGTTAAAAATAACTCTATAATATGAATCACTTTGGCTGTAGTTTGAGTTGTTAAATAAAAATCTCTACGGAATTCCTTCGGATACGAAGTCAGTTGACGCGAAAGACGTTCGTAATCGGACGTGTACGTTGGTTATTCAAATAACCGTTTTCGTTATCCTAACTGGTTTTTAGTTGCTTCAAACGTGTGTTTTTTTATGTTTTTTTTGTGAAAAAAATATCTGTGTTTGGTATGCCAATTTTAAAGTGAAAATAGATTATTAATTTTTTTATTTTACGCAAATTTGATTAAATAATTAACTTGCTAAACGTTATTAAATTTATTTTTAACTATCGCCCGTGACTCCGTCTGCGGGGTTTTAAAAGAAACTTACTGAGTTTATGTGTTCTTCCAGACTATGTTCTATATGAGTGGCAAATTTCTTCAATATCTGTTGAGCTGTTCCGTTGATATTTTCAAACAAACATCCATCCATTTAAACATTTCTAATATTAGTTAGATTAAACATAATATTTCATAAATTTAAGTTCTTTCTAGAATTACTGTTCAATATACATTTATTTATCATATTTCTAATATAATACAATTCATATCCAAAAAAAAATAAAAATATACATAACATATATTAAAAAGAGAACACCACCGGCTGCGGAATCCCATGACTCAAACAACCAGTGGTCAGGGCTGCAGAGACAGGAACCTTCTCACGATGCGCGCGGTTTCTAGGATAACTGCTTTTTGTATCGGGCCCTTAATCCAACTGTTTAGCGAGAGCTTTTTGAGATGTTGGTCGAAGCTCTTCGCTATCAGTCCATTTACCGATACGACTTACTGTTATCTTTATTTATTTTAAATAGACAA